CATCAGTGGACACCTGGGTAGCTCCCCTGTCCCGGCTGTTGTAAATGATGAACATGGGGTTGCATACCTTTTGGGAATAGTGTTTTGGATTCCTTCACCCAAATACCTGAAGTGGGATTGCTGGATCATATGGTAGTTCTGTTTTTAATCTGGGGGGAGGGTACCTCCATACTGATTTCCACAGTAGCCATACCGTTTTACAATCCCACAAACAGTGCACGAGGGTTTGCTTCTCTCCACATCCTCTGCAACACTTGTTGATTTATTGATGATGGCCATTCTGACAGGTGTCAGGTGGTGTCTCATTGTGGTTTTAATCTGTATTTCCCTGGTGATGAGTGATGTTGAACATCTTTTCATATGTCTATTGGCCATCTATATGTCTTCTTGGGAGAAATGTCTTGAGGTTCTTGGGTCATTTTTTGGTCAGTTATGGGTTGTGGGGGGGTGGGGGTTGTGTTAAGTCATATGAGTTCTTTCTATATTTTGGATATTAACCTCTTATATGTATCGTTGGCAAATATCTTCTATTCAGTAGGTTGTCTTTTCATTTTGTTGATGGTTTTCTTTGCTGTGCAAAAGCTCTGTAACTTGATAGTCCCCTTTGTTGTTGTTTGTTTCCTGTGCCCAAGAAAACAGTATTACTAAGAGCAATGTCAAAGAATTGACTGCCTGTTTTTTCCTAGGATTTTTATGGTTTTGGGTCTTAGATTTAATCCATTAGTCTTTAATCCGTTTTGAGATTATTCTTGTATGTGGTATAAGAAAGTGGTCCAGTTTATTCTTTTGCATGTGTCCCTCTACTTTCCCTAGCACTATTTATTGAGACTGTCTTTACTACATTGTATAGTGTTGCCTCATTTGTTATAGATTAAGCAACCATATAGGCTTAGATTTATTTATGGGTATTCTGTTCCATTGGTCTGTATGTCTGTTTTTGTGCCAGCACCATGCTGTTTTAATTGCTATAGCCTTGTAGTATAGTCTGATACCAGGTAGTATGATACCTCCAACTTTGTTCTTCTTTTTCTAGATTGCTTTGGCTATTTGGGGTCTTTTGTGGTTCCATGTAGATTTTAGGATTTCTGAAAAAGTCCACTCATATTTTTATAGGGATTGAATTGACTCTGTAGATTGCTTTGGGTATTATGGACATTTTAATTGTGTTAACTTATCTGAGCCTTCAGCAAGGCATAACCTTTTTGCTGGTGGAGGGTCTTGCCTCAGTGTCGATGAAAATGCGATCTCTGAAATGCAGTAGAATGAAGCAGTAAAGCAAAGCAAAATAAATGTGGTATGCCTGTTCAGTAAATCTGCAAACATTTATTGTTACATGCCAGACATTGTACTAAGCCCTAATGATAGACATCATTGACTTCAAAGAACTTACATTCTCAGAGGGGATGCAGACATGCAAGTAAAATAAAGCACGGCGTGATCACCAAAACGATAGAACGGCCAGCACTGAGAGAGGGGGTTTTGAGTCCCAGTTTCTGTGTGGATAGGCGAAGTCTGTGCCAAGGTGTCTGGGAGGGTGGGGGGTGTGGTGTCCTAGTTGATGAATGGGGGTGCACTCAGGAGAGCCAGCATGGCAGGTTGGGGAAATTGTGCCTGGTTGGGTGACCCTGGACCGTAAGTAGCAGGGTGTTTTGTGGCAGGAACTGAGGCAGGAATAAACCAGACTGGGCATGAAAGACTTTGTGTATCAGGCCGAGGAATGTGAGCGTCGTCTTGGGACACGCTGTTAGTAGTTTAAGTGGGAGGGTAGCGTAGTCAGTTTACCACTCTGAAGTGTGATTTTAAGTGGTGGCTTGATCTCATGTGTTTATCACTTGCTGTTCTCCTGCTTACACGTCAGTTACAGTATTTCCAGTAAGTAACGGAAAACTCAAAATGGCTTAAACTCAACATGGAAGAACCTTGAAGATGCCAAGCAAAATAAACCAGTCACAAAAGGACAAATACTGTTTAAGTTTACTTGAAAGAGCTTCCTAGAATGTAGCGAAATCAATAGGGACAGAATGTAGAATGTGGGTGCCAGGGACCGGGGGTGTGGTTTCTGTTGTACAGATGGAGAGTTCCGAGACAGGTAGTGGTGAGGGTCGTGCAACAGTGTAAATGTACTTCATGCCCCTAAACTGTGCATGTGAAAATTGTCAATTTTATCTCTTTTACCATAGCACAAAATTTTCCAAAACAACATGGCTTGAACCAAATGGAAAATGTATTATTTCATAACAGCTATGGAGGCAGAGCCGTGTCCGGGTTGAGTTTACGGTGTCGGCAGTGTTCACAAGGGACCCGAGTGGTCTTCTTCTGCCTGCTCTGCCATCCTCCACACAAACGCTTCATCCCCAGCCAGCTCCCCTTCCAAGACACCTGCCCCAGCAGAAATTACTTTTTAAGACAATACCCATGGAAAGAGACCATCTTCACCATGTCTCTTAAGACCAAGAAAGGCTGTCAAAGCCACGTGTCACTCAGCATCTCCATGTAGACATCCCTTCTTCTCAGTGACTTTCCAGTCTCTGTAAATGGCCAGTCCTTTTTCTCAGAACTAGTCCTTGACTCAGACCAAAACCCTGTGTGTCACCGGTACCCTTCTCTTCATGCCACACCATGTATACATCAACAGGTTCTTTGAACTCTGCCTTAGAAATGTTTCCAGACTCCACCCACTTTTCACGACCAGGACTTTGCTTTGCAGCATCACCGTGTCTTCCTAGATTATCCCAGTAGCTTCTTGCCTGCTCTCCCTGTTTCTGCCCGTGATCACTGACTCGTCCATTGAAAAAATCATCTGAGCGCTTGAATACGTGCCAGGCATTTCTCCGGGCACTACTGGCAGCTCTGCAGTGAATACAACGAATAAAAACCCGGACCCCCTGGAGCTTCCACTCTCAGAGCACCAGTCACACTGATCTCTTTCAAACACAAGTCAGTCACGGCTCTCCTTTGATCAGAATCCTCAGGTTCATCTGTTCGTGGTAATAGTCTCTGCATGTAACTGAAGATGAGGAAGAGTCAGTACCAAAGTACCCATGTCTCCGCTGAATGCTGTCACGCCACACAGTTCAGTTTGATGTGCATTTTAAAGTGGGAGAAAAGGAGGTAGAGAAATAGTTTCTAGCAAGTAGGATCCTAGAAAGATGAAGCGCCACATTGATTGACTCCAGAGGCACCTCTATGGTGTAGTGATCATTGTGACAGTGGTTTCTTAACCACCTGCCTGTCTTTCTGCTCCTTCTACTTTTTTCACTGAATGTGTTGGGCAAATTGAGCTCTCCAAGCACACTGAAGCATCTATTAACTGAATGTGAGGTTTTTCATTGAGACAGGCGTACACATAGCAAAGTACCACTGGGTTACTTTTTGTAGGTGTGTGTTTCCCTTCCTCAGTCCATGTCATCTCCCCAGTGTAACCAGTACTCCACCTTCTGTCTCCATTAAGCTAGTTTTGCCTGTGTCTAAACTCTGCATTGATAGAATCTTTTATATTTGGTTTCTTTCATGCAGAATTACACGTGAGATTCATCCATGTTGTTGCAGATAGCTATGGTTTTTCGTTGCTGCATAGTACTCCATTCTGTGAAAATAACACAGTTTATCTATTCTACTGTTGATAGATATTTAGGTTATTTCCTGTTTAGGATTTTGTGAATAACAAGTCATTTGTAAGAATGGATGTAAGAATTCACTTCTCTTTCCACTTGGGAGTATAATTGCTGGGTCCCGGGATGTGCTTACAGTTACAGAACTTTAGGATATGGTACAGACAATGAAGTGTGTCCCTCAGAGAGTTTTGAGTGTCTTCCTGTATTCAGTGGCCTGAGCTGCTGCCTGACCTGTTACTCTTCATGTTTTTGTCTTCCCCTTGCTCTGTCTCAAGCCGCAGTGTTGCGCAGAAGTAATGACAGAACGCAAAGACAAGGTGGTGCCATGCAGGATGAGTATCCACAATCCTTGGATTAAAACGGAAATTCTCCCGTGATCTATTATCACAGGATGTGGTTTTCTTTACCTCCATTGAAGGGAGTAGGACACAAAACATGATGGGAAATCCTGTTCATAAAGAGCAAATGTTTAGGCTACAGAATTGGGCTAGGCTTGAAAGAGCTAACAATTATTTGATTTCGTGCACAGTACCAATCACTGGCAGGACAGGGTGATGCACAAGATAAATAGAGCTCATCCTGTGTAGAGGCAGACCAGCCTCTGTGGGGGGCGAAGCTCTGGAAAGACAATCTCTGGTTTTCACTTACAGGACAAACGCTTCTCTCTGCGTACTGTAAGCTACCCACGCAAACGTGCGGGTCCTCCACACATCAGGCAATTCTGTAACACCAGCTGGGCATCCTGCAGCTTAGCTCAGTTCCGACACCGTCTCCAGGGAGGTAGTGTCCGATCCTGCGGGTTAAGGGTTCGGTCCAAAAAGACTGCTTGCACTTCCGGTTCCAGTCACAAGTCCAGGCTGTTACCTGTGCCTCTAACCAGCGGGCTGTAAACTGCAGGCTCCCACAGCCCCCTCCTCAGGGTCAGTTAACTCGCTGGAGGGAACATGAGCAAAGACCTGGAGCATAGTGTTTAAGGGGAGATCATGGCAAAAGATGAAATTGGGACTGTTATCAGAACCCAGGTCATGAAGAGCTTTACAGTAGTAACAGTAACAGCCAGTGTTTCTGAGGACCCGGCCTCTCCAGACTCTGGACCAATCACACTTCGTGGACCGCCCCATTTTAATACTTAGCATCCTTAAACATGGGTCCTTGTTACAGGTGATGAAATGGGGTTCGGGGAGATTGACTGATTGGCCCACTCCACAGACTATAAAGTGGCAGGTGCGGGCCTCATCCCACCGACCGAGCGCCCATTCTTTTAGCCGCTCCAGTCGGTGCTGCCGTGTGCGCCGCGCTTCGTGCCCCCGTGAGTGCAGCTGCTTCTGTGTCGTGTCGTATTTTGGACTGACCTAAGTCAGCTAATGTTCCTTAAATGTTTGCAGACATGAAGTGGGTAAAAACCCTGGGTACATACATTGACCATGTATCAAAATAAATCTACCAAATAAAACTACTACAGTTAACTAGCATTAATTCAATGAGACTGAGGATATTTTGCTGAAATCGCCGCTCATGAGCAGCGAGTACGGCAGTGACCGTAGGGTGCAGCCTACCTTCGCTCCCGGCGGCCCCGTGGAGGCCCCGTTTGCCCGAACCTCCCGGAGTGCTGAGGGGCTCCATCAGAGTGAAGACATCTTGCGCGTTCAGTCCAGTGGAAGGTGCTCCGCCAACTGGATGTACGTGTGCAGGCTCTGAAATACAGTTTCTATGTGTTAATGTATCCTGAATTCAAAATCATAGAAGTGATCCATACTAATAAAATGAGATTCGGTCTGAGATGTAGTTTGGTCCGTTGTGAATGAGAGTGGGAATGAGCACGGTTATGAGGGGAGTGTTTGCTGGATTTTGAGGGTTGCTACAGTTACGCTTAGGAGAGATTCTTTTCTTACTTTTGTATTTTTGCTTCTTCACAGGGGTTGGCACCAGGAATTATTACAGAAAGATTGGCTACAGATTACAAGGCCCGTACATGGTAAAGACGCTGAAATAATGGCCACAACAGTCCACCCTGATGCAGTGTCTCTGGCGGGAAAGAGAGATTCCATACGTCTTGACTGCTCGACAGAGAGGCTGCGCAAAGCAGATAGTCCTACCCTGTCCCCTTGGCAAGAAGTTTCGCCCTCACCCTGCACCTGCGGAGACTGGAAGCTGCTTTCCGGGCGGGACCTGCATCCGGGTCCGAGCGCAGTGGTGTGCCGCCCTCTGCGCTTTCTCCAGGAGTCACTTCCGTTCTCAAAGCTTAAGTCGTCATCTAGTTTCTGAGTTCTGCGTGAGGCCAGCAAGTGACTTACTCGAGCACACTGACAAAAGCAAATCAACTCATCTGGATGCCGTAAGTAATGAAAGAAACCAGGTGTTACTGGAGGAGCAAAGTTAGGAGTAAGTTACTTGTACGGTGTAGGGACAAAAATCAGGCTGAGCATATGAAAACTGACAGAATTTGAACTGTGGACCTAAACTACCTACAAAGCATTCCAGCACAAGAACCTGGGCTTTTGTTTTAATGCAAATGATTCTGGGTTCTGCGCTGACGTTTGTAGTAATCATGTGATGGGAGGGAGAACTTGAGGTATGTCTGTCTTTCCAGCTTGAAAGCTGCTGTTTTCATATGCAGAAATCTACAGATTTTCATGTTTGCATCTACCGTCCACCACGGGCCACCGCGAACACCCTGAATTCCAGTTTCTCGTCTGTACTCCCTCCTCTTGACTCCCACAGTCGTGCAGACACTTCCGCCCAGAGAAGTGCTCGGCCTGTGTTCTGTCTGTCCCAGCAGGCAGGGTCTGACTTGCTGTGTGTGACTGTGGGAGTGTGGCCCTGAGTCGAGATTTCCTTCCCACAGGAGCTGTTCCCTGTGCTTTGATTCTTTAGGATGAATTTAGGACGAATCTGACCGGTGTGGGTGGCTTGGTTGGCTGGGCGTTGCCTCACGAAGCAAAAGGTTGCCAGTTTATTTCCTGGTTGGGACACGTGCCTGGGTTGGAGGTTCAGTCCCAGGTCAGGGCACGTATGAGAGGCAACTGATCGCAGTTTCTCTCCCCCTCTTTCTCCCTCCCTTCCCCTCTCTCAAAATAGATAAATAAATCTTTTTTAAAATGATGAATTTTGGTTTGTTTTAATATGAAACAAAAAAATGCAACACGGGCCCAAATCTAAGACTAGGAAAAGGATTGGCTTATAGACCTGTCTCTGTAAATTCCGGGTAATCTACTAAGAAGACGCAGCCTGGAGAGGTGTCAGTTCTTAAGAGTGTGGCTTAGCCGTGTGCCCCAGCTTCTGTGGCATCTTACAAACGTTTATTAAGTGGAATTCTTTCCCCTAAAAGGTATAAAAAACAAAATCTTCGACATACAAAGAGGAACCATGTAAGGGTTTTTCTCCCCTCCAGGTGCAGCGATCTTGGCCACAGATTCCCAGGTTTGAGTCTCCAGCCCGCGGCCCCCTCACTTCGGTCTGCCACTCCGTTTGCCGGCCACGAGGCGCATGGCACTGCCTTTCTCGGGGCCCTCTGTGGAGCACAGAGACTTTCCACACCTGTCATTTAGGGAATTGAGCTAGTTCCCACATGTCTGTGTTTCCCTTTAAAAAGCAAACTAAGAAAGCATGCGCTGTGATGGCTGGGACCACATGTAACGAGCTGGAGTGGGGAGCAGGCCAGCCCCTCCCACAGCGTGGCCAGGACGCCCTGCACGAGCCTCTGGGCCCCGGTCTCTCGTCCGTCCTGTTCACCCAAATGCGTCCAAAAGTGTGCGGTGCAGTTGAGTCCTTGGGAAAACTAAAGATTTGTGTGTAAGGGTTTTTAAATAAAGTAAGACTTAAGTTGTCTAGGAACATGACCACGTCTCATGGCTAATAGCATCACTATTCCGTGTGGGTTTTCATCTCGGGGCCCAGGAGAGTACCAACCTCTTTCCAGCTCATCCCAGCCTTCCTGGGAGTGAGTCTCCCAGCCTCGTTCAAAGACGTGGAACCCTCACAGCTCCACGGGGGACGGAACTCCAACAGCCTTCTGTCACCAGAAGCTTCAGCTTCTCTCCCGACTGCCGAGGACTTACGGTATTCAGGGACGCGGCACTTCATGGCCTGGCCTCCCAAAGGCGTGTGCTCCTCGTACAACAGGCCACCTCCTAAAAAAGGCCATTTCGGCGTGACCCTGCTGGCCTCTGCGTGAAACCTTTGAAGCCACAGTTGTGTTTCTGATCTGTGTTGGACGACATGTTAGCAACCGCCTCAAATCCAAATAGCTCTGTTTAGTTCAAGTTCTTAGAAATCACCTGGAGAGTATTAAAAAAAAAAATCAAGCTATATCAAGCAGATGGAAATCTATTTGAATAAAAAAGGAGATTTTAAAATACATTATCACCCAGTGAAAAGGATAAAGGTGTTTCTCAAATGGAATGAGTGAACCCCTTTTATTAAAGGGAAACATTTTCACTGACTCAATACTGAAATGTACTGCTAAAAAACCAAAGCCTGTTCTCTGAAAACATCCTTCAAATCATAAATTTTCATTTCCAAAAGGTTTTAAAAATTATCATTTAATTGAAAACAAACATTTGTCCGTAAAGAACTTACAGAGCCCTGAGCTGATGAAACACCTTGAGATCTAGGTTCTGCAAACCCGGGACCCTCAGCTCCCTGGACAGGCCCCCTGCCTCGGGCTACAGCTTCCCCGAGCTGTGGCTGCACTTAACTGCACCTGTCGGGGTAGAGGGCAAGGCCCAGATGTGGTCACATTTCAGAGACATCCCATCGTCAACCGTGACGTTTTCTGTATAAACAGTTGTTACTCTGCTGAAGTGGCTTCCGAGGGGCGTGCGCCCTCGGACAAGCGAATTCCCTGCCTCTCAGCAAGTTCCCTGTCTGTAAACTGGGAACCTCCCTCAGGCAGCGGTCTCGAGGACTGAATGAGTACTTGTACTTAACATTCCGAGAACAGGGCCTGTGGAACGGAAAACGCACTAGAAGTACTAGCTGTTATAATACCAGGATATTTCACCCATTTTGATGACGTTTCTTATCCGTTGGCAATAGAATCTGGTTTTCTTTTGCAAGAATCTAAATTTTGCTGGAAGCCAATGGCAGAAGAATAGTATCTGGTGCTCCACACCCTTTTCTTCCATCCTAGTCTAGCTGGTCCTTCTATTTCACTCACTAGGGTTACAAATGCTCAAACTTATGAGCAAGAGACTCACTGAGCATGTGCAACAGCAAAAAGCATCTTTAAATATCCCTGTAATTCTGGGGGCCTCCCAGAAGGCCGTCCAGTGTCGGTGCAGACTGCCGCCCTCGCCTGTGTGTGCTGGCGGCCGTGTCTAGGGAGCCCTGGGGGTGGGGCGGGCAGTGCCGCATTTCTATACGTTGGAGCTGTGGGTGCCAGCAATACTCTTGTGCAGGAAGCTCCAATAACTAAGTTTATGGGCCTTTTAAAGAACCTGATTTTAACAGACAAGGAATCAAGTACATGCCTGTGAAAAGGAGCAAAAGCAGCTGTTTTTCTACATCCACATGTGCTGTGTTGACTCCGACCTCTGTGTCTTCACCTGCCTCCAGGAGCCTCCTCGCCCACCCGGGAAACAGCTTCTCCCCCTCCAGGGAAGGGGCCACCATCCGTCACCCACGGCCCCAAGTCCCACCGCGTGCTGCCCTCGGCGCCGGAGCCCTCCCCCCTTCTTGACCTGTGTCATCAGTGCAGTTCTAAAGCTGACGTTGGTCTCCCAGTGAGCGAGGACCTGGGCCTGCAGTCAGACAAGGCCGCCAGGCTGGCCGGCTCTAGGATGTCTGTGGGCCGCACGCACTGGGCACTGGGGCAGGGACTGTGACCCTGGAGCGGCCCAGCCTGGCAGCACTGGTCTCGGCCACTGAACGGACTGAGGAGTCAACGCCCGAGCCAGGGGCACGGGCTTTCTCACTCCGCTCGGCCTCACAGTGCCTTTCGTTAAGGAGAAAAACGTTTCTGGGCAGCATGTGTTTACAGAGGCCCTAACAGGTACAGAGCAGCAAGTCTGCGCTTTTGTATTATTCATCCTCGCAGCAACCGACCTGTGGGGAAAGTCCTGTTGTCTCGGTTTTCACGATGGCAGGTGGTGGGCATGAATGATTTCGTCAGGAGAGGATGCAAAGCAAAGAGAGTCCACTCTGTGTGTGTAAATGAAAGTAGCTTAAAACTTGGTGCACTCACTATTGAAATAAAACAGAAAAGCACGGGGTTACCCGCAGTCCCACCCTCCGAGAGAACTGAGTGACAAAGGCCCTTCCATCTGTCTCTCTCCAAACGCGCACACGCACGGTTTACACAGGTCGGTTACACTGTGTGTCCTTTGTCACCTCTTTACTTGACAGAACGTAATGAGAGCGAGCACCTGGTGTTGATGCGCGTGGCTCTACTTTGTCCTTTTTAATGACTAACATTCTGTTGTCTTCAGATGCCACAGCTCATTTCAGGCCGTCCAGATCTTACATTCCTTTATCCTCTTATTGTCACAATAGCTAGAATCACGTGTTAAGCATAAGGGCTGCACACACCAGACTCGATACTAAGATTTGCTTTAAACTTGGGTCTCCACAGGCCTTCACTCATCCATGGCAGGCTTCCTCGGGGTCCCTCCCTTTAGTGCTGCCCCCACATCTTTCAGTCCTTCATTCATAACCCACCTTCCAGGCACAGGAGCTGGGGGGCGGGGGGAACCTGTCTGGCGGCTTGGCCTTTCTCAGGGCGGAAGGCAGCAGCGCATTTGATGGTCAAACAAAACGTTGAGCTGCCAGTTCACTGAAGGCACTGGCGCGTGAACACGCTTTTATTGAGGTTAGAGGTGGCCGTGTCTTTTATTTTCTCCCCTGATAGAAGTTACCACTTCAAGGCAGAGTCCCCTGACAGCCAAAGCCCATAGAGGATATAATGGCTGCAGGGCTGAGTTAGTCTGGCAGGTTAGTGAACAGGAGCTCCGGGAAGGGGACAGTGTCACCTGTCTCAACCAGCGCCCTGGGGAAGAGCTCAGCCCGTGCACCCCTCCAGCCAGAGCAGGCCTGGTGGTCCGCTGCCTGGGTTTGAGGCTTGCTTCTGCCCCTGCCTAGCTTTGCAAGAGCTCGGGTCTTGGACCCCTGTGTGATGGGGGTGTTGGGGCAGCAGGCAAAGGATTGTTTACACCTTCCTGAAGAAAAGGAAAAGGGGGAAGTGTTGTAGACCCCTCTGCCTGGTTTTAGGAATTGTATCTCTACCCCTTGTGGCTAAAGATGAGGGACGACCTCTGGAGTGCCAGCCGCAGGAGACAAAGCTTGTCTCTGGTAGCAAATGCTGCCTCAGTTTCCTCTCCCTGCCCCCAGAGCTTGGTCGAAAGTCAATGACAGGTAAGACCACTCATAGCAGGGGGCAACCTAAGCCAGACTCGATCACTTGGGAGGCCTTCATGGAAGGACTCAGGGCTACAAACAAAGAGCAATGGACTCTCGCCCCCTGGCTTTGACAAAGCCCGAGTCCCCAAGTTCTCTGGGAAAAGTGCTTCCTGGCTCTAATCCCCTTAAACCTGAATACCTGATGGGGAGAGGTGCAGCTCCTTGCCTTGCTAGAGCATGTCCTGGGGGAAAATCTGGCATCACAAAGACTTGCTGATAAACCTGTGAAATCTGCTCTGCTAAGAGTGCTTTCATTCATATGATAAGGGTCCGAGAGGAAATGAGTATGTCTCCCAAAGTTTCTGCAACTCTCTTCCTGACAGACACTGACTCAGACTCTGAAGCCCTCAGATTTCTCTGAAATGTAATCTACTGTTTGACCCTTGCCGCCCTGTATTCCTGTGTATTACAACCCAATAAAAGCCCTGGAGCAGGGGGCTTGGGGCCGTTTTCTTCTCGGAGAAACTGGCCGAAGCTGGCCTTTTTCCCCTGAGAAATTGGCCACTGCCCATTTCTCCTCCCCCAGGCAGATCACATCCTGACTCGGCCACATTCACTCGTGTCCGTAGCACCCAGGGGGACGTGCAAGGAAGTCGCTCCCACAGGGAAGCACGGGGCGGGGGGGAAGCGAGAAAGAAAGGGAGGCAGTAACTGTTGAGCAGGTAGGCCCAGTACTGCCCTCACGACAGTCCTGGGAGGCAGGAATGACATACACTCTCCATTTTACAAGTGAGAAACCAGAGTTCAAAGCAGGTAAGTAAATTACAGTTAGGGAGCGAAGAACTGAGTATAAAGGCAACAAATTGACATTCACAAACTCACAAAGCTGCAAGGCTATGGGCAACGGTGGCCTAGAATTTCTAAAACAAAGGGTCTCAGGCAAGTAATGGAATTGGAAAAAGGTTTTTTCCTGAAGCTACATCTGCCTAACATGCTGTTTGCCCTGCACCCGGCCATCCTTAAGCCACTTCCTGGCACAACTGCCAGGAGCTCTTCCTTGAAAAACAACTTAATGAAAAAATACAGCCAGAAGATACATCCAACTAAAAGGCTTGAGAACAAGGACAGTAAGAAAGAGCCAGCAGTAAGTAATCCATCTCTTTAGAGAACTAAAACGACTGCATTTTGCTGTGTACAGTACACACCTATGCTCTGTGCTAATTATACACGGGCTTGTTATGTCCATGGTAGTAATCATCATACTCACGTATAATGTGCATCCTAATTTTCCCTAAAAAATATGGGCAAAAAAGTGCACGTTATACACGGCAAAATTCGGTAAGCTGCTGCTATGGAAAAGAGTGAGGCCGGGTTATAATAACAGGATGGAATCCTCATCCAGTTTCACCCCCACCCAAAGTTCTCACAGGACAAACAGGGATTTAAAAAAAACCATAAACCCACAAGAACAAAAGAGACCAAAGGCAAAAGCGGTAACATTTCAGAAGCTACACAGCGGATGGCAACTGGGCGGTGACTGGCCAGGGGAGACGGGGCACCCGGCACCGCTTACGGCACAGAAACTTCGAAAACCCCTGCAACCAACAGTCACGCACTGAGGGTGACGGATGCCGCCCACCCGAGTGAGGAAGGCAGGTGGGAGTTGTGTGTGTGGCGGCAGTTGGGCCCCCACACCCGTCCCCCCGTGAAGCAGAGAGATGCTCCCTTCCCACCCGAGCTGTGGTCTGGAGGTCTGTCCTCCGAAGAGGGTCACATGGGACCTCTGTCCGAGAGAACTCTAGTCAAAGTGGAAGGTCGGGCAACACCTCCAAGGACAGGAGGATGAAGTGAGTGCTGACACGTAATCGCCTCCCCCAAGTCCATGTTCAGGACACTGGCAGCTAGACCTCTGCTTGCAGGCCTGCAGCAGAGTCTAACCAGCGCTGGAGAACAGACCCCAGGATGTTGTCATACACGAGATTCTAAAGGAACAGCCCCGACGGCCACAGCAAAAATCAGTAAGTTCCCTTGTTAGGGGTTGAACGTGTCCCCACACACACACAAACTAGCATGACTGTATTTGGAGACAGGGCCTTCTTGAAGGCAAAGTTAAGTGAGGTCACAGGGTGCAGACTCAATCCAATATTAGTGTCCTTACAGGACGAGACAGCAGAGGAGAATGGCGTCACCAAGACCTGACATAAGACCCTCTTGACTTTGCTCCCCCTCAGAAGAATGAACAACTCTTCTTGTCAAACAAGGCCAAGGTGCCGCTGAGAGAATTCTAGAACACAGGGGTGCAGCTGAAGCATCCCCTGCACTGCAGACGCTAGAACATCACAAGCTCGGGATGAGAGGAGCGGCTGCCCCGCCCCCGGCAGGGCAGGGCCACACCAGGAGGTTTCCCCTGAACCTGAGGTTCCACCAGTGGGGAAACAGAGCTGGGGTGAACATCTTGCTCCCCCAGGATTGAGGGTCACTTCATGGGGTCCCCCACCCTGGTCTTACCCCATAGGGACTGCAGGGGATTCTGTGGGGCTCGAGCTCTGGGAATCTGATTGTGATGGAAGGGGAGCAGGGCTTGCAACAACCCCGCGGGGATCTTGGCAGACCGAGTTCCTACCTGCAGTGCCAAGTGGTAGTCCCAGCCATCGCAGCAGCTTTGCTCATCTGCAGAGCCAAGAGAGTGACACAGTGACCAAGGAACTCAGTGGGATGCAGGTCCGCCTGATCCAGGTCTTCAGAAAAGAGCTGTGCCAGCTGTAGAGGCTGGTCTGCCCCGGGCCAGGCGGGGGAGCTGAGTCACAGCCTTGCTCACTGCTGAATGGAGCTCCCAGCCCCTCTCAACCGGGAAGCCTCACTGGGAACAGCTGGAGGCTGCATGGCCCAGCAAGGCCTGAGCAGAGAGCAGAGCAGGCAGAGCAGACCATCCGCAGCGCAAAGCCAGGGGCACCATTCAGCCAGGGAACGTGGGGAATGGGTCAACGTTTGAGTTGTACCCTCTTTATAACCCGAGGTCAGAATGCCCACGTGAGCCTGTCCCAGATTCTCTTCTGTACCCAGCCTGTCTTTGCCGCACGCAGGTGAAGTCTGCACTCCTCCTCCTTGCCCCACTGCCTGAATCCTCTGAGGTCAGTCATGACGAGATTAGAAGCAGAAAGCACAGCCTCCTGCCCCGGCCATGTTCCTGCCAGTCGTCCGGTACCTGCCCCAGATTAGTCTTGCAGGATGGCTCGCTATGGCAGTCCTGCGTTTCCAAAGACTTGGTCGGGAGCCTTACAGTGGCTTCTCCCGAAGAGGCGGTTGTGAAGTCTCAGGGTAGCTGAAGCCAGACTGGCCAGTCTCTGTGCAGGGCACCTTCTCCTGGGAGCCTTCCCCTCACAGCAGCGAATCACCTGTGCTTACACAGCTGGACAGATGGACAGAGACACGAGGGGTGACGAGCACAAAGTCAGCAGATGGGGAGGTAGGGAGGCACACACAGGCTCTTCTACGGTTGTGATGAGAACCGAGTTCACTTCTCATTGTACCTCGTATACATTTTATACACTCAAAGTTCTAACATGTCTTTGTTATTTAAAGGGTTAAAAAAAGGATTATCATATAATATAATGGGCTAGGACAGAAAGTCGACTATAAATAAAAATTGGGAAGTAGAAGAAACACAGGGAAGAAAGATATAACTACATTCATTCCCTCATAGTTCGCAGCAAGAATCAATAGATTCAATTTCATTTTGAACTTGATAAGTCAAAAACAGAGGTTGAAGTTCTAGTTGATCACTAACAGAATAACTAAA